CCCAACCCGATGCGCCCAGCTTAGCACCCGGCTTGAGCACCGGAGAGGCACGCGGCGGTGGGGGGGAGACCCAAGGTGAGGGGGGGTGTCACAATGCAGCCTCGCCTGGGGGGGCACTAGTTTCGCCAAGGGCACGGAACAACCTCGGGCTGGCCCTGACTTCTCCACTAAGCATATGTGTTTTCTTAAGGAAATTTGCCTTAATTTTACTTTAGAAGAAGAAGAAGAGAAGAGATTGGATTTTGTAAAAAATGGAGCCTGAATAAAAATGTGCAATCTTAAGCACTATTTGTGTCATTCATCAGACTAATCTTGCTGTATGCCCTGTCATATTTAATTTACACTTTGCTGCTAAAGAATTTCTATCACATATCCACAGATGAGTTAGATACAAGGAGGATTCATTACCTTGATTCAAAATGTAGCAATGGTTTCAAATGCTTCATTATTTCTTTTTTATTATTTTACAAACATGACTGAAAAAACAGGAAATTAGGAAACCCCAGCAACCAATGGACATTTTGCACCCACAATTGTCTCTGTCCTTTAAAATATGTGAAATGAAAAGGAGTAACAACAATACCAGCTAGCTGTCATCAAAATGATATTTTTTTACTCTGGCCTGTAGATGGCAGAAGAGAATCTATGTGTTTACAACTACTCAAATTCACAGAGGAATAATAGTAGCAACACCTACACACATAATGGTATTTAGAATAAAATTAGGAATCTCCACAATGTCTTTGACAAATGTAAATATAAAAAATGAAAAATTATGAACATTATTTTTCCCCTCTAAAAAGCACAACATTGCTTAGCTGTAATTTTGTTCTTTGAGTGATCAAATGCTCATTCATACTAATGGGTTTCTTGCATAGAGCCTCTATTTGGAAATTTCTAGAGCTAGCATGTAGGCATGAATCCTGTTCCCTCAGAGATGCAGTTCCAACTCCATATGCTCCAGTGGAAGCTATACATTCCAAAAACATAAGAGTGTACCAAAGAGGTTAAAAGAACCTGTTACAGAGAAGGTGGGTGGGTCATACGAAGAACAGTTACAGGTAAGCAACCTGTTCTTACTTCTTCATGGTCTCCATGCCATGAGACTTAAGGCATGTTTGGATCTGGCTTGCCAGCTGCAATGGACTTCTAAGGCAGAACACTGTGAGTTCATGTCCTAATCCTGGGTTGCAGAGAGACAGAGTGGAGCCACATATGATGCCATATTGCAGTCAGTTGAATGCTTCAGTGTCCCCGGTCACTGCCATGAAAGCCATTTCTTTATGTCCTTGGGAAGGTGGTCAAATACTGATACTTCATCATACAGGCCAGGTGTAGTTTGACACTTTGAAGGACAGAGCAGCCAAGGTGTATGTTCTTATCCATCTAGCCTTCCCCCCTGTAATAGTTGGAGCTAAATGAGAAATTTGCATCCCTAACAAAGCCACAACTGTAGTTGAGTCTGGTGATGGATGAGTGAAGAGGAATCTAAAGTTATACCCTATACATGTTACAGAGACTGGTTTCAACCAGGTGTCCTTGGTAACCTTCAGCAGAGCTGGGATCATCATGAGTGAAACCAACATGTGTGAATCTGAGTCCATGATTACAAAGACAGCACCTGCTTCCTGGGAGGATGGTGTACAATTTGCTGCCCAAACATAGTGGCCACACAGATGATTTGTTCAGAGTAGAGTAGAATGTCTTCTATAGGACAGAAAACCTGAAAATCCAAGACAACATTTGAGGGTTATGAATCCGAAGCCTTGCTGGAATCCTCAGAATCCAAAGGTAAATATCCTTCTTCCAGTTTTGAGGTGCTCAAAGCTGAATCCCTAACATGGGGGAATCTGTCATGCAGCTACCTGCACTGGTGACAAGTGGAGAACCAGCTGCATAGCCAACAAGTTAGGGGATGAGAGCATCAGAGATAAGTCAAAAGCAGTGGCGATGGGGCCAGTCCCAGGGCTCTTGATTTCCCAGCTGTAGGCTGGGCCATTGGAACTGCATGTTCCTATGCAAGAAAAACCTGGCAGGACACAATTGTGCTAGGATGCAAGGAACCCCACCCCAAGGGAGCAGCACAATGGCCCAGATAATATGGAAAGTACCAGTCTCATGACTGACAGTACAGATAGTTAGTCTCCCAATAATCCAGGAAGATTGGTCAGAAACCAGAGCCATCCCTATAGAAGTCTCTATCTGGAACTAAAGCCTGATGATCTCAATGGGAATTTTTTGCCCTGAGACAGAGACTAATAAGACCGTGACCAAGAATAAGGGAGAATGTCTTTGGAGGATCTTTGATGTCAGGATAAAGATGATGATTGATCCCAAAGAAACTGATCCCAAAGAAAGTGAAGCCTGAGCACCAATGGATGAGAAGGTTAAATTTGGAAAGAACTTGATCTGCCCTCCTAACACCAAAACAATGGGTATCCATGGGTTTTCAATCACTGGTGATGAGGACCATAAAATCCTCATAGACATTGTCTCTAAAACAGGTCCTGACACTTGTAGAGCAGTGGAATGAATTGAAGCAGCCACCTCCGTGCTTGAAACTGGAGAGGACCAATGCTGCTTTGGTTTCTTTATCTTGACTGGAGATTGGGACTGATCCTTCACTCTTGGATGCCTTATAGAGCACATGTGAAGCAGAGTCCTTATAAGAGGGTATTGGAGCAGGCGTTGAAGCCAAGCCTCCACTGTCAGGGTGTTAAGAAGCTGTTGAGGTAGGAGCAGTCTGCTATGTGGCAACAAGGGTTGCCAGTTTGTTGGATGCCCTTATGGCTTTCTCCTAAAGGGCAGCCTGTGAACACGGAGACCAATTTTGGCTTGGCCACTTACATTTCTAGTTACAGATGCAGGTGTTAACTTTGTGTTGTTCCCCTCAGCAGCGGAGACAACAATCATGCCCACATGAAGAAATTTTTTTCCTGCTCTGTCAACAACATTGAAAGATGGTCTTGTGTGCCATAGGCATCTAAGCACTGCAGCATACTGTGAAGAAGACAATATATACTATAACTATTTATGGCTGCGGTCACACGGAGCATTAGCCACGCTAGAGCGATGGAAGACAGGCGGAGTTTCCGGGCGCGATCTCACCGGCACATCTGGGAAGCGTAGCACTTCCGTGGCTCAACTGAGGCTTCCCGCCGAAAACACGCAGCAAAAAACTAGTACCTCGGAGGTACTAGTTTCCGGTAACTGCGGGGCAAGGGCAGGCGTCTGATCGTGTTTCCGGAGGCATCCGGCGCCCGCCCATGTCCCCTTGCAAAAAAGTTTTTTTTCCCCACATCTCCGTGGATGCGCACAAGCACCCAACGGAGCATGCGCAGTCGTGGTGTACATGGAAAAAAACACATCCAGTTTGCCGCACCGCGCGCTTCTTTTTTGTGCGTGGAATTGTCTTGCAATCAGCACCTCTCCCTTCCCACGGAACCTCCACGGTACCTCCACGGTACCTCAACGGGAGGTCTGATCTCTTTACCACGCGTTAGTTTGCCCCGGGGCAAACTGCCACGCTTTCCCCCCGCAGTTTCCTGCCCGTGTGACCGGGGCCTATTACTACTAAACAAAACAATGAAGAAACTAGGTCCAATAAAATGAACCTCATGGAGAAGGTTCCAAATTGATGCTACTGCTGTGCTGGATGGAAGAAAACTGAGTGAGATGTCATGATTTTTCCAACTGGGCAAACATAGTCCAAGTTGCATCTCTGAAGAGACTGGATTTATGTCCCTAAGCACTAGATCTAGTTTCCAAATACAGGTTCTCCACAGGCACAATCAGTGTGAGGCCCAGAGAGCACAACTAATATATGCTTATTCCCTCCATATTTACATATATATTGTGTGATTACACATTAATGGCATGAGCTGTCATGGCTTGTATCCAGACATTTCCACTGGTGAGGGGATTTCCATCAGTGGAGCAAAATGCCTCCTGAAACCCTGTTCCTGGAGGTCCCCCTCTCTCCCAGGAACAAAATTCCAGGGTATTTTGGACTGCTGCAGGAGGAGGAAGCTGAATAGTGTTCTATGAGTGGAAATACTTGTGCCATGTATTTTGCAATATGAACTGTCACGGGAATTCTGTACATTGGTTGAAGCCTGCTAGTTTGCTCATTATTGCCTTTTCCATTTCCAGCCAGGAAACATGAATCAAGCACCCTTAGTTGGGCGCTTGGGAAATGGGAAAATCATTGTACTACAACAAATGCACTTTTAAACTTCCCTTAGCTGGAGGTGGCTACAATGGCTAGTGAAGAATCAAGCAGGTGTGGATGGGTAAGACAGGTAGGCTTGAATCAGTATCTGATTTGTTGGTGAGGTCATCTGGTGGTTTTGCAGTGAAATTGGGCTTGTAGCATGGCTGCACTGTAAGACCTTGTACTGTATTGTATTGCATTGCATTACGTTGCATTGTATTGTGCCATTATTTTAAATTAAGGAACATCCACATGTCAAAAAAACCAGTTTTGGATTTACCATTGGGATTAATATACTCCTGGAAGGTTGAAGCAGTTTCCCAGAGTAAGCCTTATCATACAGTTGCTATTCACTTCCCATTGTAACCTGTTTGCCTCAAGAATTCCCATACTGACCATACAAAAACTGCCTTTTTGATGTTAAGAATTCTAGTAAGGGCACCTCTGATGTTGTAAATATAAATCTATTTCCCGGAAAGTCTGCACACTATTGAATAGGTTCATGTTATTTATCACCGCAGTACAGTCCTGAGTCCAGTAACACTTATTACAGCCCTGTTGTTTCATTACATCTTTCTGTGATGCTGACTTAAGATATAACACATATCTTACAGTTTGTTCCTATTTAGACATATTTAATACAGATAATTTCTTTTAACTCTATAATCAATAATAACCATATGGTTACAGCAGCTTATTCTGTAAAATCATCAGTCAAATGGAAGGGCAAGCACAGGCCAACTAGAGAGTGCCCCGATTTCTTAAAGAGGCATAGAAACCCTCTTACCTGGCATAGAAGTCATTGGGGGGAATAATTTCCTGGAAGTACTGTAACTGGTACAGGTATAGTCCGATTAAGTGGCCTGCGCTAAATATAGCCATTAGTACACAGAGACAGCTGAATATCAGCGGATCAAATACTCGGCAACAGGACCACCATGTACATAACCCCAAGAATACAAAGAAATATACAGCTGAGGTCATTGATGGCAACATCATTCCTACAAAAAAAAAAAGAATGAAGTGCAGTTAGTGTTTTATGTACTCAAAATATCTGTACTACATGAAAACAGAATAAGATGCTTTAAAAATAAGTATAATCAGTTACTTAAGATAATCCAAATTTACTAACTGAAATCCATTTTTCCGTTTTACTGCAGTATGTGAAAGACATAAGTAGCATACAACTGCTTATGTAAAAATACATTTTGTTCACAATTCTAAAAGTTTCAGTTATCATAATTGTAACAGATTCCCATCAAAAATTGAAGCTTTTGCCTTGACCTGGATAGCTCAGGCAAGCCCAAATTTGTCAGATATCAGAAGCTAAGCAGGGAAGGGAAACTTCCAAGGAATACCAGAGGCCGGATGCAGCCACCTCTCTGAAAAATATCCAGGCCCCCAGTAGGGGTCACCAGGTCAATTATGACTTCCAGGCAAACACACAAAGGCCCTGTCCACACGAGGGGTTTTGGGCCGGGAGTGGGCCGGATCAGGGCTGGAGCAAACGGGTGCGATCCCACTGCAACATCTGGGCAGCGTTGCGCACCCGTCCCTGATCCGGCCCTTCCCCCAAAGAGACGCATAAAAAATGAACGAGGTGGTTCATCCACGACGGCCGCATCAAGGCCGGCCGTGGGATCGCCAGCCCGTCTTTCTGCCGGCGCATCCCCAGCTCCTGCCTGAACTGCGCATGCTCAGACATGCGCAGTTCGGCAGTCTCCCGTTCCCCTCCGTCGCTTCCCCCGGCATCTGATCCTGCCGGGGAGGGATGCGCGCGGCTCAGGGGATCAATGTGATCCCGCCGCGGCGTGTTTCTTTTGATGCGGCTTTCAAAAGCCGCGCTTCAGCCCGTCCCTTTCCCCCCAGTGTGGCAGGGGCCAAAACACCCCTTTTTTTTTAATTGAAGCTTTTAACCATCCCACCCACCCCCATCTACAGCATTATTATATTCAAGGGTGCATTTCAGTGACAGTTATATACTTAATTGATGAATATAACTAAAAATACTGAGGTACTTCAGTACAGAAAATGCTAACATTCACATTCCACATCTTAATACATTATCTTAGACAGAAACTAACCTGAAAGTTTTGGCAATCCTGCCACCTACTGAAGAAGTGAGCCGTGACTCACAAAAGCTCCTACCCTGCCACAACTTTTGTTAGTCTTTAAGGTGCTACTCGACTCTTGCTCTTTTCTACTGCTACAGACAGACGAGCACGGCTACCCATCTTGGTGTGCTGCCTACTGTTCATAAAGGGGATGAGAATAGGTGTAAAGTTGCACAACATGATTCACCCCAATAAATATGACCCAGATTAATCTTCATTACTTATTTTAAGAACAGAACGTACACCATTTTCTGTATATTAAATTATGGATACAATACATGGCTACATGTTCTGTGTGATATAGTTAAAGGGCCACGTCTCCTCAACATGCCAGGTCTTTACCTAATAAAACAAATCATTTAGATGAGTGGTGCACACACTCCACTGTCATTTTCTGAGATCTGTTTCTGGAAATCACACTTGCTGTTTGTATTGGGGGGTGGGGTGGGGAAGAATACGCTTTAAGAAATTTCTTAGATTAGTGTGCGCACGTCTTTTGATGCCTGGTCTTTTATAAGTACAACAAACCCACTGTGAGATTAAACATCCTATTAAACATTTTGGAGACTATTTAGACAATTCTGCACAGCAAATTTTATGTTAAAAAATAAAATTAAAATAAATAAGTAAAAATTATACAGGAGTCAAAGAACACTCAAAGACTAACAAAGTTCATTTCAGCATAAGCTTTCACGAATCACAGCACACTTCTTCTGATCCATGATGTGCACAACCATTTGGTCCTGATTTTATATAAAGCCGGAGGCAGAGGGGTGTTACAAAAAGAGGCCAGTGTAAAAAATCTTGTTTTGTAGTATAGTCAATGAATGTACAGCAAAAACTCTCAGCAATGTACAGTATTTGGGAGGGGATATTTAGACAGTTAGTCTATCCTTGGAGTAAGATAGGTATGTTTTACAATTACAAAAGGGTGTTCCCCTATTTTATTCCTTAAGTGTTGAAGAGTGCTGATGATGTGATTGATTTCACAGGAATGTTAAGATTTTATCAGAAAACTGACTGTAAACTATGAACACCAGCCATTACAATGACTCAACTTCTCACGATATGTGGTGCTTCTGCTGGTCTCTGAGCTGCTATGTCACTTCCAAGTACAACCCAGAAGTGACAATGGATAGTTGTAGGAATTGCCAGAAACTCTCTGGTTTTACAATAGAGTTTCTGACAGTTCCTAGAGCTACTCACTGTCACTTCTGGGTTGCATCTGGAAGTAACGTAGTGACATTGGCAACATTACACCCACTTATGTCCCTCCCCACCCTCGACGCTCCTGTTGGCTGCCAGGCTTAGCTTGGTAACCCTAGTTATAGTAGCTGAGACACACTGAGCTGACCGACATGGCTAAATCTGAAGGCCTAGTTATACAAATTCTTATTAAGGCAACTTCCTATGTCTATTAGATTAGCCCAGGGGACCCGATGTGGAGCCCACCAAGTGTTTTCTAGAGCCCACCAATTGTTTTTAGAAAATGGGTGAGGTCAAGCGGGGCTCTTATTCAGCAAGACTTCTGAATGGCCATTACGATTTGATTGGCAGTGCAGATTTCAAAACACTTTACTGTGACAGAAGCTGCCACCACAGCACAAGGATCTTCACTGTATGACTGAGGGTAAGCTGTGGTAGACATTTTGCGGCACGCTCTGCCTCTGGTGGCAACAAATTTGTGGCTGCACACATCACACTGTATCAAAATTACAAAGGTGCCCGCAAGCTCAAAAAGGTTGGGGACCCCTGCTATAGCCTCTTAGTACTATCTATATTAAAAATCACATTCACAGTTTAGACTACTTTTGCTTTCTCAATCTACAGACAACATATTAAGAAACAGTACTTTGAATATTATCAATATGCTTGAATGGAGTACTTCCATATTGCCAGAATTAGGTCTAAATTATCAGCAAACAGTGCATGCCTTGATTTTCAACTTGACAAACAAACAGCAAGGAACTGTTATTCTGTAACACAAAATCAGCCCTTATGGTGATCTATCCTGATTTAATAAGTACTTCCAGATGGTTCACGAAAAAGCACATTCCTCTTCTTAGCATCACACTAATTAGTATTCCTAATTGGGCAGCAATTGCTGAGGATAATCACTAAAAATACTGAGGATAATGGCTATCTAACTATGTCTAATATAAAAAACAAATTAAAGCAGCTAAAATTACATTAAAATGTACATTCAAAGCAACTAAGTAATATATATATAGTCCTTTACTATTAAAAGGGCTATTTACCAAAGCTCTCAATGACTAAGAGCTCATTTGTATCTTTAATCTAATTTACACTTTTAATCTAATGGTTCTTGAGCAACTGTTCAAAAGAGCCTACCTGTTGAACCAAGTAAAATTGTAACAACAACTTTTCCAGCCGTGGTTATAACATTCCCAATAATTTCCTTGATTTTGGAAGCTATTGAGGCAATTCGTCGTAGCAATTTTAATTTTGTTGTTTCTTCTTCTTCTTCCCCACACTCTGCATCATCAAAATCTTCATATATTAATGCATCTTCTGCCTCTATTCCCTCTCCTTCATTCTGAAAATGAGAGAAAACTATTGTGATATTGGAATTCACTACAAGAGCATATCTTACTTTTTAAAGACCCACATTAATCACACATCCCATGCCATGTATCCCAGTGTTAATTCATAAGTATTCTTCCATTTCCTAAGTAGGCACCATAACCCCCAGTTGAGAGCCTGTTTCAGAGCTGTTCTCTCACAAGCAGTTCTCAAAAGAGCTCTCTCAGCCCCACCTACCTCACAGGGTAAGGAGGGGAAGGGAAAGGAGATTGTAAGCCACTTTGAGACTCCTTTAGATAGTGAAGTGGAGGGTATAAATCCAATCTTCTCATCGTCATCCTCTCGTCCTCCTCTATTCTGCTTTCTTTCCCATTCTTCAAACTACCCTACAATGCCAAATCATTACCCCTCTCATGACTATAGCACAAACTAGTGTAAGATTCTTGTCGGCTTTCTCCCCATTAGGGGTGTCACTGTCAACTCTGGGTTGGGAAATTGCTGGAAATTTGGACACGGAGCCTGGGGATGGGTGGGCTTGGGGAAGGGAAGTATCTCAGTACAGTATAATGCCATAGAGTCCACTCTCCAAATCAGCCATTTTTTCCCTAGGGGAACTGAGCTCTGTAGCCTGGAGATCAGTTGTAATTCTGGGAGATTGTCATACCCCACCTGGAGGTTAGCACTGTTACTCTCTACTAGGCTGTCTTCTCCTTAATCCATTCAACCAAATACACATCTGATAAAATTATCTTTATTGTATTATCCCTCCCACTCCTCTCAATTCTTATACTGCCTTTCATTGAAAGCATTTCTTCCTTTACTTTGGCTGTCTTGTTGCACTCACCACACAACTACGGGGGGGCATGAACCAAATTATGAACTGAAATTCATCACGAACCAGGCACAGTTCATGCTTTGCAAACCTCAGTTCATGCCATCCCACTCTCATGAGTCCCCATGAACCTCCCAGGTGGGTTTGTGTGGTTTGTGTTGGCAGACATGCTGGTGCTGGTACTGATGCTTGGAGAAGGCATATAAAGAGACCACAGTCTCGTCAAATGCCTTCTCTTTTTTTGTGTGTATATGTTTTTATTGAGTTTTAAAATATACAGGGATAGAAAAGGGGAAGGAGAAGAAGGAAGAAAGCAAAAATAATGTATTCTGCATTCTCTGCTTATCATTTCCCATTACAATAAGACAGACTGTGAGATTATACAAGTTTAAAGGGTTTTTGCAAGCCCCAGCAGAAAGGAGAGAGGGAAGATCCATGAACCTCATGAACCCGAACTGGTAGGCAAAGTGGGAGAGGTTTGTCCCAGTTTATGGTCTGTGGTTCGTGGTACCTCATAAACCATGAACCGGGACAAACCTCAATTTTCCCGATTAGTGCCCATCCCTACAAACAACACTGCAATAACAATTGCCATTGTTATACTGTGCTGCCAATCAGACATGTATGACTTCTGATTGCCATGAAGTAGATGGAGGATTTTGAAACCATATCTGAGGGTTTTGGGCCTTGTAGATCCATTTTGGATTGGACTTGTGACTAGCAAAGTCTGTGAAGTCCCAAAATAGATCTGAAATATAGTGTTGGTCTGCTTAGGCTGCTTTTGGCTCTACTGCATTCAAAAAACCCCACCCAAGCCAGCCAGTCCCTTTAAATCCCTCTTCCAAGCCAAGCCAGTCAGCCAGCGGGGGTGGGGTGGAGGACGTTAAAATTACTTTCTTTCTACGTTTCCCCCCCTCCATCTATTTGCTTTCTCTCTCTCTTTCTGTCCTCCTTCCCCATCTAAAGTTAAATGTGTTCTCCAAGCCTTGCTCCACTGCCACACTGGCCAGCTGGCTTAGCTTGGAGAAGGCATTTGTCTCTTTAAATCCCTTTGCCAAGCAGGTGCAGCAGCTTGGAGAACAAGAAGCTTGGAGAACACATTTAAAGTTAAAGGTGTTCTCCAAGCCCCCACTTGCCAGCTTGGAGAAGGCATTTGTCTCTTTAAATCCCTTCGCCAAGCCAAGCTGGCTGGAGTGGGTGAGGTATTGGAGAACACATTTAAAGTTAAAGTTGCTTTCTTTCCACCTCTCCCTTCCTCCCCATTTACTTGCTTTCTTTACACCTCTCTCTCTCCCCCCTTCCTTCCTTCCTCCCCATCTATTTGCTTTTTTCCCACCTCTTTCTTTCCACCTGGAAAACCTGTAAATCTGTTAGAGTGAAAGCCTGCTAGCTGGTGTAAAGATTTGCAGCTTGGAACTATAATTTCAATTTTTTAGCTCTCCATGACAATGTTATTCACGAAATCTCCATTCTTCTGAATAATGCAATTATATTTGCAGGATCCTTGCCTGAAATCTACATGTGTTTCTTTGGCTACTCTCAAATGTCACATCACAATGAAAGTAAACCTACACGTGTATGGCTCTGGCTTGTTGCCATGCTTATGCTATTATCCTCCTCTCACTCTTCTCACACAGAGCATGATAATCAGGGTTTAAAACTAGCTGTAATTTCTCATGACATACAAATACAAGAATGCAGCTTAACTGTAGTTAGTACTCTCACCACTACAAGCTAAGATTCTTTGGCAGGTATAAATCCCTTCGCGGGGGGTGGGGGGGCATAGGTAACCAATATCAGTTTTCACCCAGAGTGGGAAGGAGGGAAAAGACAGAAATGAGGCAGACAGGCAAAAAGCTGGCTTTGTGCACATTCAGGCTAAATACTGATGCAATGTCTGAATGCAATATTAGTCTCCCTAGTCACAATTCATTCTAAAAAAATAGATACAAAGCAAGACTAACCAGCATCACCTATAATATAGCAACAACTACATTATTCACATCACCTATAATAAAACAACAGCTACATTATTCAATGATACAGCTGCCAGTTTCGGTTGCATTAAAGAAAAATGGGGGTGGGGGGAAGACAGAGAGGGGGAAAATCTTTTAATAGCAAATCAATGCAACAGTTTTTAACATACCCCAGTCTAGTTTATCTTTCCTATGCACTGCTAGCAGTTTACTATGTCAATACTTTTTTGGAGTGGTTAGCTGGACATACTGAGTCCATTTAAATAAACATTTAAATATAATTTATAATTTGAAATGCAAGTTTGTGGTGCTTTGAACCTTCTATAAAACTAAGTTTTCCTCACAGCTAATATTTTATCCATTGTTCCTACAGAGTGAAAACTATTAATCTATCCAAAAATAAGGGAGCAATTTGATATCTTATCCTGTTGGTGCTGAGAAAGTGATTTCACAAGGAAAAGAGCTTTGTTTCTCCTTAGTTCTTTGTTTGCCAACTATCTTTCTCCTTCAGAGGACCACAGAATGGTCACATCACCAATACAATCTTCTATTTTGTCATAATTACAATTCATTTCCATGAATTTCAATAAATAACAGTAATAGCTTTCAGAACACAGTCTGCAGGGTATATACTCAATACGCACATCCTGAAGAGATAAACTCTAATCAGAAGAATTCTGGTACATATTGTGGCCTGTTGAATATCATTGCTAGGGAATCCTGAATGATGGTACTTTGCTTAAATAATTAACCATAAAAATGTCCTTACTCTTATTACAGTCAGGAATATATCAGTGGGAACATCAGGGAGGAAACAAGCTAACTTAGCAACACAATTACTGGAATATTTTGGATTCCAATACTTCTTCTAGAAGTATAATGGTTGCAGTAGGCATTCTGAATATGGATTAAGTACTTCAGTACTTTTAAGCTTTCTGAAGCAGATGATACTTAACCAGTGTTTTCCCAGTAATTGCAACACACTCTCATGGTTCAGATAGTCCTCATTGTGGCTTGGAAATGAGCCATGGATTTATTTGTTCTCTGTTTCCCTCAAGTACATGGCTTTCAATTTCCGTTTTATCTCTAACTTTGCTGTAATGTGACAAGTAACAAAGTTTGCATTTTCCCTGTTCCCTAAAACTACAGGAAACAATTGTTTGCTAGCCTAGACATAATCTCCCCTTTCCTAGGTTTATGACCTGCATTGCAGTTCCCACCATACAAAAGACCCAGACTCACATGACTGTTCTCAGCTATAAAGTTATCCAATCACACTGTCCCCGTGCTGGATAGTTGGAATCCCCACCAAAAATCCCATCCAAGCTCTATGAAGTAATGAAGATTGCCTCCAAAACATCTGTCATCTACCCAGAGACTTCTCTCATTCATTATTTGGAAATGTTGCCAGGACCTCTCTGTCACATTCAGACAAGCAGAGAGGACTAAGTCTGTTTCACTATCAAAACTTCCTTACACTCCTAAGGTCTATGCAGCTGAAAGTGTAGGCAGACTCCATCTCATATCACACCAGAGAATCATGATAGGAAACGTGCAATAAAATGGCATTTCAGGATGAGACAGCCTGTGAAGAACGGTCACATCCCGTTATTAAGGACTTGTTTTGTGACTCCATGGGATCTCTCTATACCCATACCAAATTGAATGGCCAGGGCTTGTGAAACAATAAGCTTACATTCCATTTCCCTGAAAGAGTGCCCCATATAATACAATCCAGACTAGTAAACTAATTGTCCTGTATCATTAGCATCCTCCCTCCCCCAGTAACGCAAGAAGCCCTGTTTCCCCACTGGCAAAAAAGTGTGTATTTTAGCTATAAAAGGTTTATTTTAGGTTTGGTTTCATCTCAGAACTGTCCCTCCACCACTGCAGCTCTTGCCTACACTCACATGTCAGAATCAGGCAGCATATAAACTTTTCTTGCTGTCCACCCCTTCACCCCCAGCAAGTCTTGCACTGAGTCCAGTTTGCACAACCTCACTCCCAGCTCCTCTGCTTGCAGCTCCTTTGCTTGCCCTCCCCCTTCCCTCTTTCTCTGCCAGCAAAGCATTCTCTTGTCCTTTTCATTCCCAACTAGTTCCTGCCACTTCCTTTCCCCCCTACTCTTTCCTAGACTTGCCCAGCTACTCTCAATTCTGCATCTACCTGCCCTTTGGGCATTCGCCCTAGCCAGATGTTCTGCCC